GTGGCGGTGAACAAGCAGGTGAGCAAGCTGCAGGGACACAGCGCCCGGGTGGGAGCCTTGGCATGGAACGGGGAGGTTCTCTCATCCGGCAGCAGGGACCGGTTGATCCTGCAAAGGGACGTGAGGACGCCGTGCGTCGTCGGCGAACGACGACTCGGTGCCCATCGACAAGAGGTGTGCGGCCTCAAATGGTCACCGGACAATCAGTACCTGGCGTCCGGCGGCAATGACAATCGGCTCTACGTGTGGAATTTACACTCCCTCTCGCCCATCCAGACGTACACCGAGCACTTGGCGGCGGTTAAGGCGATCGCCTGGTCGCCTCATCATCACGGCCTGCTGGCGTCTGGCGGCGGCACCGCTGACCGTTGTATCCGCTTCTGGAACACGCTGACCGGCCAACCGATGCAATGTGTCGACACCGGCTCGCAGGTTTGCAACTTGGCGTGGAGCAAGCACAGCTCCGAGCTAGTCAGCACGCACGGCTATTCGCAGAACCAGATCCTCGTGTGGAAGTATCCAAGCCTCACGCAGGTGGCCAAGCTCACCGGACACTCGTACCGGGTGCTCTACCTGGCAATGTCGCCCGACGGCGAGGCGATCGTCACTGGCGCCGGCGACGAGACTCTGCGCTTCTGGAACGTGTTCAGCAAGGCCCGCAGTCAGAAGGAGAATAAATCCGTGCTGAATCTGTTTACGAGTATCCGATAAATAGTGCTCGGACTGCCCTGGCAACTGTCATTGCGACAAAGCCTTGCGAGAATTGTCTTTTATTATGTATTTTGTACATATGCATACACACGTATCTATCATCCATAAATACAATATCGTAGTGTATTCTAAAAAAATTATATATATATACACTTATAGAAACATATATATACATTATATAACTGCGCTAGAGGTACTAGAAGAAACATTCTTAGAGAGTTGTATAGAGATAAGAACTACGCGGTGTTCCCAACGTATAGAATATAAGTCCGTGGGTCTTTCGCACAGTCTGCGATACGTTGAGTAATTGTGTGCAATACTCGTTGCTATTCTCCGATAGAGAGTAATCTTCTTACGAGGAAAAGAAAAGAAAGATTACGCATCCTGGAGACTATCGCTGCGAGACGCTCTATATTTTTTATGCACTTTATATACACTTATTTTTATATGTCGCTACACTACAGGATTATGCATACCTGCACGAAGTGTCCTAGAAACTCGACGGCAAATCTGACGCAGATTTTTTATTATTATTAATAATAAAGTTATGAAAAGACTAAGTAAGCTTTTACATTTTGAGATAATTAAACTACAATATTTCTTTCTCATTTAAAATCATATTATAACTCAAACTCAAATATTCTTTTATTTAACGAGACAGTCACAAGCAACGAGATTTTTTCCAAGAGAAATCTACTCCAGATTTGTCAATAGGAGCTGTAATTGAAATTAAGTTGCTCTAGGACACTCTGTACTAACGCGCTTGCGTTTTTCTATTCTATTTTGCATCGTAAATGATCACGATGTTGGAGCACACAATATATCTTGCTGCATCTTCGATCGAGAGTTTACAGCGATGATCTATTATGCATTTCATAAATTTGTAATCGCAGTTCTCTCTTCTTTTAAGGATGTATTTGACCACTATATTTCTCTAACTCTTTGAAATAAATTCCCACTTAAAAATATCTGTAGACTGATCAGACTCTGAAAAAGAAAGAATGAAGTCTGTGAGAATTCTAGGAAGGCTATCTCATTTTTTTTTTTCTACTATTTGACATTGTTCTGCTGTCCTCCACGTGCTCTATTAGTCACTATAAAAAAGGGATTTGCTTCCACACATATACGGAAGTTTTCCGTCGCATTCTTGTACGGCTAATGCTAATTTATAGTTTATGCTCGGCAAATTGTACAAATTTAAGTTGAAACGTGACACTTGTCAAAGCGAATATACTAATTTATATTATAACAAAAAGAATATATATTTAATATATCGCATTGACTTTGCGTAATATTATTGGAGAAGTAAAAGAGAGATTGAAAATTGACGAGAGAAAATTGTACAATCGAGAAAATGTGCGTGTAGGCTGCAAACGTACATGCATATATATATATATGCGTAATCTATTTTTCGCGATACCGTATATCGTTCGAGTACGCGGAGTGTGTGTAATAAAAAATAGGAAACTGAAATAAAAAGCTATTGAAAAACCAAGATGTAATTCTCAGCGAGAGGTGATTATTTCGTCCACGAATTGTCCGCCGAAAGCGAATAATCGACGATTTTCATGTAGCGTAATTATACGTTATTGCTCTAGTAATACAATGTATAAAATATTTTTATACAATCGCTATATCGTTAGACGAAGTGCGTACACGCCTATAACGCTTTGCTCGATTCACGCGCGGCGATTAACCAGGAAGACGCACCGGAAGTAAAAGAAAAAGGGAATGCAAATTGCAGCGTTACGGTCCTATCATGTGCGCTGCATTCTACATGCACCAGGATGCATTCGAGCTTCTTATATAATAAGCTAATTACAAATAGAGATGTTTCCTCGCAATTTCTATGCAACATCGTTCGATAATTCGTGATTAAATTGAAATGGAGAAACATTTTGTTTCCCATAATGAAATCCAAAAAGATACACACGCGTATGATTGTAAACGATATCAGTTCTATTAGATGTAATTACGCGAAAGAAAATAGTGTCAAAATAGACAAATTGTGTGAGATATTGAAACTAATAAAATCATAAGTCATCATTTAAAATATATAAAAACTAATTGTTGTCTTTTTTATTATATACTAGCGCACCATAAATCATGGTACGTTAATTATCATTACTGACACCATGTTAATTGATGTACTCTTGGAATAGGTACAAGCCGAGTTTATGCATTCTATGATTCATAAATAGAGGACGTCATGTTTAAACAAATAATAGATATTTTGATCTTTGCATCCTAAAAATAGAAAACGAAATACTAAGGAATAGACGTGTTAACAAAGATATTGCTCATATCTTGATACATGTCGTAATCAGATTGATTTATTCATTTCATGTATGAGCAATGTTAAATATGTGACATCATAGATTATGAAATATCTCGTTCTTGCAAAGGAGATACATATACTCTAAGATATTTAACAAGTCAGTTTTGTATCTGTTATTAATTTGATGACAATTACAAGCGAATTCTATCATACATATATATGATTATATTTGTACAATATAATTATAGTTTATATTATTTTTTTGGAAAAATAAAATCGCGAAAGTGTCTATTAATATATATGTATACAAAACGTAATTATACTTTTAAAGATTCGGCTATTATGTAACTGCCTGCAAATCAGATGAATAAATGTTAGAGTAAAATATTTAGTGAATTTTCAAATGTATTCGCATATTATGGATTAAATAAAATAATTCTGTTATAAAAATGTAATGATTTTAACTTTAATATCTTGTATAAAAATTAATGTAAGTGATTTACAATTATATACCTGCAAGTAGAACAAGTAAAATAGCAGACTAATTTATGTACCAACTTTAGAATTATAGTTTATGTATATAATAATAATTTATGTATTTTATAGGTATCTGGGAAAAATCTAGAATTTTCTGAGAAAAAGAATTTAAAAAAATTATATTTATGCATTAATGTGTATTTATGAAAACTATACAATATTTTACATGAATAAATCTATTAATATATAATATCGATGCTCAGGCAAAACTGTCATTTCATTTAAAGATTCTATTCGCAACGTTATCATCGATTTTAATTTATGATTGAAAACAAAGTTCTGTGAAAAAATACTTTTATAACAAACTCAGATTTTTTTAGCTTTCCTACTCGTATAGTTAGTTAAAAATATTCTTATTATCTATATTTATTTATATTTATGTAGAAGTTTAATATAAAAACTTGTATTCATCCTATTTCTCTTTGCGCATCCTTAATCATGCTTTAATTTCTTTTTTTTCTTTTTCTTCTCGCTCGAAACTGGTTTTTCTACTTCTTCAACCGATACTGTTTGTTGCATTTCCTCACTTTCTTTTTCCTTCTTCTTCTTTTTCTTCTTTTGCTCTGCAAATAGAAATTATAAGCTTTTACTCAGGTAGCCATATTATTATTATAAAATTGCACGATTTAACAGAATAAAAATTAATTTAGTCATACATATAACAGTGATAGAATTGTATTAGTTAAAATTTATTTAATTATAGATTGGAAATTATAGAAATATATTTAAAAAGGATCTTCAGATATTTTATAGTCGCAGAAGAGATTTAATTTAAGCTTCTAAATGTTCTCTACTATAAAAAAAATTCTATATTTCAAAATATCTAAAAATTTACATTTTTTGCAATTTTGTTTTTAAATTGTTTTCTAGTTGAATTAAGATATCTAGTAGTAAAATATGAAAACTGAGAATCAACCGTTATTCGATCTTTATTCCACCAAAACTTTCATATGCATTTTTACTTTTATAATTACCTCCACTCGTTCCTGCTCCAATTGATATATCCATTTCAAACGTTTCCTCAACTTTCACAGATGCCGCCTCCTCAATCGAATCTTTCTTTTTCTTCTTCTTTTTCTTCGATACAAGATCTGAAGAATCCGCTTCAGCTTGCGCTTCTTGCATACCAGAAGACTCCCCTACATCTTCTTTAGGCTCTTTGCTGTGTTTCTTTTTCTTCGATACAAGATCTGAAGAATCTGCTTCAGCTTGCGCTTCTTGCATACCAGAAGACTCCCCCACATCTTCTTTAGGCTCTTTGCTGTGTTTCTTTTTCTTTTTCAATGAAGTATTTAACTCTTCCTCCTTCGTATTTTCTGGTTCCATGCTATGTTTCTTCCTTTTCTTCGATACATTTGACCCTATTTTTACTTGCCCTTCTTCTTGAGTACTAGAAGATTCTGCTGTATCTTCTGTTTTGACTTCTATACTGTGTTTCTTCTTTTTCTTTGAAATAGCAACTGATTCCGGTTCCACTTGTGCACCAGAAAATTCTCCTTGTTCTTCCTTGGATTCTACATTACGTTTCTTTTTTTTCTTCGATACAGCAGCCGCTTCAGCTTCTTCTTCCTTGACTTCCGTCTGTGGTTCTTGCTTGACTTCCGTCTGTAATTCTTCCTTGATTTCCACTTCACTGTTCGTGCTACGTTTCTTTTTCTTCTTCTTACGAATTTCCTCACCCTCCTTTGGTTCCATCTCCACGATTAATGGAGCTGACTTCGAAGCCTGCAGAGTCGAGTCTACAGACGCGGAATATTGCATGGATTCGTTCTTGCTGTGATATTTTTCGAATTTGGACTTCGCTCTGGCGGTGCCACTTACACGACGTATATTCCCTGCCTCAAGATCCCTCAGTTTTGCCTCCAACCTTACTTTGTGCTCCGCGCCAAGCTCGAAGCCTGTGGTATCGCCCAATGCGTCGACCCTCGTCGCCAGAGAGGCTTTCGCCGCCAGCATCCTAGATATCTTGCCCTTATTCTTGTTCGAGGACTGTCCGACAAGTTGCGAGTGATAGATTAAGCCGTACTTAGGCGTGTTCCTTTTCGATTTGAGAGCACGGAACAGCGCCTTCTCCGCACCGAGGATCTGTAAAGTAGATGCCGGATGCTTGGCGAGATTGGTCAAAGAGCCGGCCTTGGATATCAGACGTGCGCCGATCAGGTCACCGACCAAAACTGACAGATTTGGCGCCAGCGCCATCATCCTAGTCTTCAGATAATCGTGCAGCTGGGTTCGATATTGGTGGAGCTCGATTATTTCGACGCACAGGCATTGCATGTGTTCGGCGTCGTACTCCGAGATCTCTGAGCCCATCGAAGTTTCTGCGGCTTCCTTCACCCTCTCCTCGACTTCCGCCGTTAGAATATCTGACAGGTCGCATTTGACGGCGTTCTCCCGCTGACCGACTATCTGCATCGTCTTTATGTACTGAAGATTGTCAGTCACGATCTTGCCCAGCTCGGGGAAGTGCCAGCCATACCATTCGCGCGCCCGCATCATGTAATTGTTGAGCTCCTTGTCCAGATCATCCAGCAAGCACACCGCCTGTATCACCATGGTGTCGACCTTATCGGGTGAGAACTTCAGCTTGTATCTGGAAAGACTGTGAGCCAGACCCAACGCCATGGCTGTCATCTCCTTCTTGGTCACTCCGGTAATCAAACTGTCCATCTGGCTTCGGATACATCTCATCAACTCTTGTATCGCCGTGTTGTTTATGCAGGACACTTTTGGCAGCTTGTCCTTGATGGCGAGGCCCAGCTTTGCATCAGCAACTGCCAGTTGTTCATGGGCCTCAGTGCAGCAGGTTTCAAGCGTTTTCTTCAGAGACTTAGACAGTTTGCCTTTCACAATCGCTGTAGTAGCGGCTAGGGCCTCGGTGGTATCTTCAAACTTGTGAAAGTACTTCAACTGAACTCTGCAAAGTAGAAGATACGTGAGAACGCCAAATAAATCGGCAACCGGCAAGATGACCTTTGAAATAAAAAAAACGACTTACAGTCTACTGGCGATTTCGGGATTCTGAAAATCTTGATAAAGATTCTCCGACTGGGTGAGTTTGTCTTGGTCCAGCAACTACAAGCAAATTGTCATTTAAATCGTTAAAAATATTTTGGTCAGATAATCTTGTCGCACACGCGATACACATGACGGAAAATAAAACGAGGGTAGCACGTGCGCGACCGCTTAGACGGTTAGGTTAAGAGGCTCGGCGTTTCCAACAGATTCGAACTTACCTTGAATATCGCGTAGCCCGCCGGCGTCTCGAACAGCACCAACATTATTATTGCGTTATCTTCGCGATTTGACGCTCGTGACGATCGGTTTCACACAGTTTCATACCAAACGCAACGTCCACGCCGACATCCACGATCCACGCCGGAACGATTAGATCCGGCTTGCTCCTTGCTCCTCCTACGGCTTCGGCGCGCGCGTATTATGGAGGATTCGCATCGCATCCGGTGTCCAATCCTCTATCTAGCGCACGCATCGCATTCCAGAATGTAGTCGAATAGGAAACGCTGTTTTCTAGTGATATTTTAGCTCTGATGGCAGGGTCGCCATCAGAGAGAAACGGAAGCCACGCGAATTATTTGAGGTTATATAAGGATATCTAAATAAATATATCCGAAAAAATTATTTTATTTTTTGTCTTGCTTTGTCTCAAAATATTTATATAAAATTATTATAAGATATTAATCCGAAGATCGTACCTTTTAAGTAGCAAAATTTACTTAAAAAACAAAGAAAATTTTTTTTAAATAAAAATATTTTATTTTAATTGTTATAAAGTAATATTTGTAAAACTTTAATTTTAAAAACAAATTTTACGTAGTTAATATTACTTTGTAACTTCAATGGGCTTTAAATTGGCTCCATATGTTGATTTTATTGAACATGGCGTAGAAGCGCATTGTGGTGTTTATCGTCCTGGGATTTAAAGTCAGTTGCTCCAAAGAAGATAAATTACATAATCTCAATTTGACAAGTAACAGCTACGTTCTTACAGTGTACGTCACAATAAATATTTCTTGACAATAAATTCGTGAAACGTTTTCTACTGTAAACATAGTTTTAATCTTAGGACCAACGGTCTGGACATATTTTTAATCTTAAGGTCACAGAAATTAACCTCTACTTTAACTAAAACATGTAATTACAAATGAAATGTAATCATTGAACAACATATTGCTACAAAAATTGTTATTAATACGAAAATCATGTGATTGAAAACAAAATTTATCCTTATTGAATAGCACAACATTATAAAAAGTGTCATAACCAATGTTAGATTTTTTTTATTGACCTACAGTGTTTAGTCCGATTATATTATTATTGATTGGTAGATAGATAGTAAAGAAATTAATTTCTTATTAATAACCAGTCAGTGATTATTCTTAGATGCATATGTAATACAACGAAAAGAAAAGGATATACATAATTTATATTTTTCACAGATGGGAGGTCATGACGCGCATCATAATGCTCCCCCGTACAAAATACCAAGCCCCGATATTTACAAAGTGGAAAATGTACCAGAATTGAAACGCGTTCAAGAAAAATTGGCCAAGAGAGGACTGAGGGATCCTTGGCTGAGAAATTACGTGTGGCGTTACGACAGAAGCCAGTCAACTTACATGCGCGCTTTAGTAACTTTAACCAGAGGCTGGCGAATTGGTGTACCAGCGTTCCTGATAACCATAGCCGTTGAACAATATTTTGGGATTGATTATTCTGGTCATGGATCTCATCATGGGGACGACCATCATTAATGGTCGCTATTAATACGACGAAGTAAGAAGTAGTCTACTAATTAATTAACCTTACAATCTACTGTAAAAGTATCCAAATGAGCTATGAAAATAAATTATAAAAGTAATAATTAATGTATTATTAATATTTGTTTAATTAAGTAGTTATTTAATTTTCACGGTTACATCAGAAATCTCTTATCCAGTAATGATTTGTTGCAGAGATTTCTCCTAACGTTGCATTTAATGATTATTAAGAATAATTGCGATATAATAACCGTCGCTATACAGGCGAAAATGTAAGAGTTATACAGTGCCAAAAAGAAGGCAAATACGGTTATCTCGAATGTCGCCAATAGCCATTCGTTTCCGTGAAGCACCACTTTGTTGAAAGAATAATTGTTATCTGCAAAAATAAAATTAGATTCATTGAAACGACGATATTTACATTAATATTTTATCACTAAGAGTCTGTGCAATTTTTTGGTACCAATATAAAAGACGGATTTGTCCGTGGCATCTACGAAAAAAACGTCCCACAGTTTCTCCAATACGTGCTGCTCCTTAATTATATAATCTTCATCTTCCGAGCAATGATCCAGGAATTGCATTAGAAAGAGTTTAATTTTTGACCTAGTTTCAAATAACTGTTTCCAGTTTCTAGAAGGTGTGTCATTTCCTTTTAAAATGCCTACGCTTCCCTGTGCAAATTGTACAATAATTATTTTCAAAGTATATGGTACTCTTTCTTTAAAGAAGTATAGCAATATTAAAAGTTTTCTCTTTTGTCACATGAAGATAAACGAAATATTGTTAACAGTGCTTTTCTATGAACAACTTCGTACATACATACATTGTTCTTTTGCCTCACGAGCTCGTCATATAATGATTTGAATGATTGGGTCAATGATAATATAAAAGTCTGGTCAGTTGTACCGGGTACCAGGCCTCTGTGCGCGCACAAGTCGTCTTCTTCCTTTTTCAGATCGTTTATCAGGGTAGGAAGATCAGTATCCGCAAATCCATGTACTGATCTGTCAAGAGCAGCATTGTTAATTACATCTTTTACTTCACAAGACACACTTAAAAATTACCTTCCATGAATATAAAAGCCATAATAATTGTGCGCCAAGATGAACACGCTGATGTTCGCGATTGAGCACAAATCTACGAACTTCTGCAATCTGTTTCTAATGTATCTCTCGTAAAACGTAAATCGGACCAACCATTGCATGAGATATACAGATATATACACGAAAGTACAAATTGCATATTGCAATGTGAAATTGTTCTCCGCTTTGGGAGACCTATCCGCGGCGGTCGATTCCGGTATCGCCAGCATCCACGATTCTAAATCGAATATCTAAAACGAAAAAAATTATTTAAGCTACTTCTACTGTGAATGAAATTGAATTTCTTTTTTATGTCGCAACTGACCTGTAAGATACACAGAGTGTAAATTGATTGCAATGCTATATTTATTCTTCTTCTGGTTTGCAGTTTGCACCATTCGTTCGCGATGAAATAAGTTCTCCAAACGCTGATCGGAAAATCGTGCGAGTTGCGCTCGGTTGCCTCCTGCAAAGGCGATCTCGCGATCGAACAGACAGAAGAGAAATCCGGCGTGTATTTTTCAATCGAAGAAGACTTAGACAGTTCACTGGGACTTGTGTTCCTGTTCGTTCTGTGCGATCTCCTTTTTCGCTTGGACGCGATGACGTCCGATGTTATTCTCGAAGATTTACCCTCGCCCTTTGGAAATCTGTTGGAATACAATTTCCGTAAAGAAGTATGCGGAGAGTCGTACTTCGGTTGATCGTGTATCGTTCTCGGTTGTTCCCAGTCTATGAAAAACACGCTCAATCTCCAATGTTGATAGACGAACCCTATCATTTCGGCAATCTAAATGAAAGAAATAAATGTTAAGATGGTATAAATTTCATCAAGTTCTATGCGACACATCGGAATCGTTAACATGCCTCTGTTAATTTCAGATAAAACGTTATCGCATCAACGTTATTGCTTTACTTACTTTAAAGCTAAATGCTACAGTAATATACGTTCGGATTTTTTCTTCGCTATCCTCATCGGGAAGAAGAACATATGGTACAGTTTGGCCTTTATAAAAGATGAACAGATACATGCACGTACTGATGCACACAAACGTAATCGCGTTTCCAATCGCACCCATGGCGTAAATGAGAAACCATAATAAAACGACTACGCTGAGATTGCCATTGTGATTACGTTTATAATAACTCCACGCCTTGACACTTGAAAATATCAGTGCTAGTCCCGTGAACACTCCGATAGTTATCTAAAAGATAATATATTTTTAGTATTTGAGAGAAAATTAAAATACCGTCGTATGGATTTTTACCTGAACATTGTAGTCTATATCGTTATCCTTCAGTACAAATACAATTTTGTAATCTATTGTGATATCGGAGTTGTCGAGGAAATCTTGATACGTCAGTTCGTCGTATTCCACGATCAGAATAGGCGCGAAGATTTTGCCGTAATCTTGTCCGTTCTGGACGTTTACTCTAAAAGTAGAATTATCGTCGATTATCCGCAAAAGGACTCGCAATGAAAATTACGAGCGACTTACAAAATAGTCAGAGATTTCATATAACGAAGCGCGGAAAGCTCTGACGCTTTCATGAATCCACTGTTCATAAACACCGGTAACGCTTTGAAACCGCTTATATTGTCGACTAGAAAGAACTTTCGCACCAATTGTTGATGCGAGATTTCCTTAATATTCTACAGAATAAAAAAAAATATATTATTGTATAAATTTCATCATTATAATTATTATCGAATTTTACCTGATCTGGCGACTTGACAATTACGGGCAATGCGTATATAAACGATTTATTGTCCTCTCTAAACGTTAAATAAGGAGACAGTAATTCTACTTGTGCGTTGAACAATTCAGCAGCAGTGGTTTTACACCTTTTGCTGAAATTTACACCGAATCTCACATTTCTCAGAAGTTGACAGGGCAGGGTCGGTCTGCCGATGGACAAGAATTTGCCGTTCAGTGCGAATCTCGCGATTGTAAAATCGAGGACGGTATTCTAAAAATATACATTATTTTGTTTTCAGTTTTACATTTTAAAGTATCTGCGCATTTATGTAAATTTATCTCTTTTTTCGTGATAAAATAATTAAGTGAGATAATTCAAGCGAGAGCATCTCAAAGAAGAATATAATAAGAACGAAATCGCATTTTAATTTCGCGTTTCCCAGGAGATCATAAAATTCAGGAGAAATTAATTAATTCGAATTTCGAGGCTAACTTCGCGGTATTTTGGAGAGCGTGATATACATGGAAGTCGAACAAATTGTTTACAGAATAAATATAGAATTCAAAATAAAACAAAAATATTATATAAACGAAGTTTAGGCTTTATGTATAAATTTTGCGAGTTATAATAAATTATAGAAGACGTTGGAAATTTATATATTTTCTTCTTTGAACTTTATATTCATCCACAAGATTGTGTACAATTATAATAAGAATAATAAATTAAAATAAGTAAAAAATAGTTGATACAATTAAAACAATGCCAAATATAAAAACAATAATAATCATAATTATGCATTTATAGAAACAATAATTCTCTATAATAATTCTCTAATTTCTATAGTAATTCTACATTGCACATCTGTAGCGTACATTGTCTTCTTTTCTGAGGCTGTATCTGTCGGATATCCGAGTGTTGTTCATCACCGCCGCCGTATCTTGTTTATTGTAAAACAACCATACGGGTGCCATAGGTGTATGCATAAAAAGCATACAAGCAATACCGTCGCTATAAAGAGTCAGAGCGCATATGTTCGACAAATGCTCGCACGCCATCCTGTCTTTCCTCTGGAAGCCGTTAATCACAGAGTCTTTTTATGAGCTATTGCTATTACGTCTTAAATAATGTCATTGTAATTATCGGCATTATCGCTACCGTTTTTTCGCACGCTTTCGAGCAAGTCCAAGATTTTTGCGCGCGAAAATCACGTACCTTGCAGAGGTGCACCGCGATTTGCAGTTCCTTTCTCAGGTAGTAACTGTCGACGTTTCCGCTGCGAAACTTTATCAGATACGTGCTTCTGATGTCCGGCCAGTCGGCGACGTCGTCTTTGTGCAGACAATAATTTCGTAGTCTCACGTGTGTCGCACTCGGGCACACGCAATTAACGTGACCGCTGTGCTCGCGGCCGTCGCACGGCAGGCATTTCGAGCAATCGGGAGAAGGATACGTGCCCTGGATGCACGTTACGCAGAGCACAGCATCCAGCAGTGCACCATTTATATTTCTATCCACTGCGTACGAGAGTAAAAAAATTTATGTAATATATATTTCATTCGAAAGGGCAAAACGAGACTATTTTTCTCCCGTAAAATCGCATCGCAGTCTTAATTTGTTTTCAGAAATTGAGTTGATCGAAAAGGAATTGCAGAATAGATAGTATTATCAGAAAGAAACAAGAATAGTAGCATTTTGCGAAAAATATTTCAAGCTTTAAATCTTTCAGCTTCTTTCTCTGAATACATCCTCGGCAAAATTTTCAAATAAATTCCGGAAAATTCCGGAATCTTATTAGCTGATAATTAAGCTAAGAATATTCATTGGGGGATTACGTCTTATTTGGTTTGAAGAGCATTTGCATGTTGCATTGGGACGCAGGAGCGGGACGCAATCCTTTCCATCGGCGGTCACGGTCATGTTGGGACCGCACGCGGCGCAAAGCGGATTGCCGTTCTCGAAACCGATCGCCCCGCTGAATTCGTCGCACTGACATCGCAGACCTGCGAGAAACACACGTAGAATTGGCGAAACAAATCAAATAGCAAATGAATAAGATCAAACCGTGAACCCACGGTCCGCGGCCGGCACAAGATTCCGGCTGGCGTTGCATCGCGAGCACGACAGAGAGACAGCGTCGAAGTACTCGTCGTATTTGCACATGCTTGGCTCCCAGTATTCGAGCACTTCATTGTTTACGTGAAATGCACTTGCGAGGGTCGTGAAAAAAATTACGATCAACGTCAGGTAATGATTGCGGCCACCTCGGGCGTAATTCATATTTGTTGTGCCGTCTCGGCCTGACGAAGTTGCCATGCCAACGATGGATGGCGGGCATCCGGCACTTGGTATACATCGATTTTACCGGGGAATCCAATTTCGCACAATAGTTACAAAAAATAAGTTCCTCTAATAGAACTTCAAAATTATTTAGACATTATTTATACAAATTTTAAAATATGTTCAAAATAGTCATAACTTAAAATAACAAAAAAAAATATATATATACATATATTATGTGTGTGGGTCATAATAATGTTTTACTTTACAAATTATTCGCTGTCATTGCTATCGTTGCTATTGTCAGAAACTTATTGTTTCGACCACAAGGTTAACCATTAAACGAGATTTTGGCCAACTTTTGAAGGAATTGGAACTGTACTAGGCGACTGTTCCACATGGTCGCCGTGGAACCACCGGGAGGTAGTTAAGTAGGGATAGAGCGAACGTGAGAAGAGTGGGAAATAATTCGGGCGTCGCGACGACCGTGGGAGTCGCGCCGCTACTTCCGAGGAAACAGCATCCCGGGGGATAACATCTCCTAACGATCGTTTTTAGGTAAGGGCGACCTGATTTTCGCGCCGCGTTCTCATCTGTTTCTCCGCGACAAGGAGATTAGTCGCGATCGATTACAATTAACACGGTGTGTAGATCGCCGACAGTGCGCGGGCATCACGGATCTCGTCGCGATGATCCATTCTTGAATTTTTAATATTTTTGTGTTAATCTCGTACTACAATCGTATTACTTTGCACCGGAAATAAGAATCTTCTTATTATAATAATTCTTATAATAATAAGAAGATTCTTATTCCAGACAAATACGTGGAAATCTTTTTTAACACATCATCATTTTGATTTTTGTTCGAAATGTTTTATCAAAAAGTTCCTCAAAAGTTAAAAATAGATAACGCGACAAAGAGTCTTTTATACTTATCGTAGATGAAATTAGCTTGAATCTTAAAAATTGATTCGCGATTCAACCCTTTAAAGTCAAAGGATATTTTTTACATGATGTGTTTTGAAAAAAGTTTGGAAATGTACGAGGTCAATATTCAGAGTGAGATATCTTGTATACTGTCGAGTTGAGTTTGAAGAGTTCTCTCTCTGGGAGAAAGTTTTGCAAAGAGATGCTCTGATTAATTACACATATATTTTATCGCATTCAATCATGTTGCAACAATATATTATTCGCATTGTGAATGAAATTAACATCATATGCCATCGCGTACGCCATTTGCGTTCCTAATCGGTGTTGGCATCGTTAATGCAGTGCTGAAAGACATCGTCTGTCATAATCGAGATTACGAAATAATAATCATGCTATTGCTCCGCGCAATTAAACCGCGCTTATTACTCACGTATCTATACGTACTAAACGCGCTCTTCTCTGGCAGTGCCTATACATGACACTCGCGCGAATGTAATTGAATTAATTATGCTACTTTTACTCATCTTTGCGCATTATTAATGTTATTCATCTTTTAAACATTGAGATACATTTCATTTTGCAATAAAATGACTGCTCTATTGTCTAATATTAATTTTTATTCGGGGTAACAACGTAAACATCTTTATAAACGCACAATTTCAAAACAATATTTTAATTTTTACCTAATTTTGTTCTCAATCTTTTATGATATTAATTTCCAATGATAAAAATATTTTTGCAATGAAGCGTGCCTATTAATTATTAATTAATGCAATATTGTTCTTCGCGTCCTCGAAATTCGGTACCTAGGCAATGTCGACATATTAATGTTAATACATCGTTTGTGGAAACTTATTTACGCATGATTTGTTGATTGCCTGAAAATTTAAACAACGGACGAATTTCTAATTCTGTAAATGATAACAAAATTAAACAATTATTAATGTAAAATGCAAAATTATATGGATAGTACGCTCGTTAATCTAATCTAATCGCGTATTCGCGACGCGTTGTTCTTTTAGTATATGTATGATGTTCGTGATGTAATGGAAAGTGTAATTAATCTTTTCAATCAAGATTATTCAATCCAAATAACACCAATTAATACGAAATGCGTGTATATTAATGTCAGTGGCATAAAATTTAACACATTAAAGATTAGATAAAAAAGTAAGCGTTTGCAATTAATTGCGTTATTACGCGTTATGCCGTGAAACTGTGATGTCGATTGTGCACGACTGGGATTATTTTGTAATCGATATCGCCGTTTTTAAGTGCCGTGTCGACTAGCTAAATTTGGCGGCCTTACGCAACGATAGAGAACGAACGCGATCTCTGCGAGCACCGTTCTCGCTGGCTAAACATTCAATTTTATATTATTACGAGATTCCTCGTATAGAACGCGTAAAGTTACACGAATCTACGTTTATTCCGAAAATCACGACAACATATATGTTCATCGTAAAAGTGGCACGTCGTAAATGCAATATCGACCGACTTATTGTTAGAGCGAATCCTTCGTTCGTATGTGAGATTAGGTTTCACACTAATAATTATTTAATATTACTGCCGTTTTCGGAATAAAAAATTCGTTTATTATCTAACTTTGCAGACAATTAGCAAATAATGCATAAATATATTTTTATAAGCAATATATTTGTTAATATCGTTGCCTTTCAGGTACTGCATTTCGGTGAAATAATACAGCAAAAGGCTGTATTGATTAAATAATTAAATGATCTGTTTTTCAGAAAAATATTTTAATATTTTAAAAGATAGTATCAAGAAATGTCAATAACAATAATAATTAAATAAAAATCAAATATTGCCCTGAAATTGATGTGCCTTTATATAAAAAGAAGTTTATATCGCTATGAAATAATAATTGATACATTGCCCGTAGAGAAAGTATTCTATTAAAGGATTCTTTATACGAGATCGTTAAATTTTCATTCATGTGTTAAATGTTTATTTGCTGCCAGAGAATCTCGATATACACGGTGGACATCCGATACTCCGCGCCAATTGACATGAGAGCGCGACGCAATTGCGCGATTTATTTAAGTCCACAGTTCTAACGGAATTTGTTTAATAATTCGAAACGTGGATCTAGCGAGGATCTGCTGAGTCAGAATCTAAAACAGTTGGCATTATATCCATCTTAACTCATTACTGTGCTTGTGTGTAACACGTGTGGGTTTAACTTGTCGCTGATTTATTTCACTACCGACTTAATCCTCTTTAATTCACTTTTTATATAGACTAGACACTACAGACGCGCGCTACGCGCGCGCTATTTATCTTTAACATTTCACTATTAACCCTATTATACACAACTGTCAAAATATACAATGACAGCTGCAAATGAAGTAAGCGCAGCAAGAAAACCAATCGGCATCGCGGAAAAGCGGCAACAATAAACTTCACATCTCCTTTTTAGAAAAGGAAATGTATTTAATTTATGTATTTTTTATTGTTATATATTGTTTGTTTTAAAAAAAAAATCTGAATTTAAAAAAAAACACGATAATCGTGAAATAAAAGACTTTATTACGATAAAAAATAAGTTTATTTTGAATTTCTAAACATTTGAATATCTCAGTTATTACTTATCGATTAAATTATCAAATTGACACGTAGGTAACAATGTATATTTAAAAGCCGTATGAATTAATAAACAATAATATACAGGTATCCTAAGTCCTAACTTTAAAAATAACAAAAATTATTAATATATTTCTAGAAAATTATTAAATCCAAAATATTTATATTATTCAACGTATAGAACAAAATAAACTTAATAATTATATTAATTCCATTTGGATACGTAAGAAATGTTTTTTGCATACGTTGTTTACACGATTTTTTTGAATGAATTGAGACGTACGAAAGCAGCGGCTATATACATCGCGCATAGTAAGATGCGACGAATGTGTCAACAAAAGATTGGGTAATGAGCCGATTCGCTCTAAATCATAGCTACTTTCCAAACGGATGCGCGCCAGACGTGTACTTGCCAATTAAGTCGAGCGGACAATCTAATTGAAAGAAGTCAGCTATCGTTCCTCGCGTTTTGGCACTTGCGATTCGACGAGAACGCGTGTTTTCCACTGAAAGGATGTGCTGAACGTCATTTATTCCGAGTTTATTCCGCTGTATATTTCTAGCTGTGAATTTATTTCCAAGGCGTTGCGCGATTTCAGCGTGACCACTTATTTTGACTTTTATCATTGAACATATTTGTGTCGATGATCCATATAGTCGAGCCAGGAAAAATGCACCTCGTTTATCGTCCGTGTAATAGACGAACGAAATCGTCGGCTTCCAAGAAGAACGTTACTTAACTGTCAAAACAATTCCATCATCGCTTGACGCGTTTTGTCCATCGCTCTTTGTCGTGTTACGATGCAAATGTTGAAAGTGAAGCGTTGAAAACCGTCACAAAATGCCAGAATTTGGAACTGACGATAAAATAATTTTTATTTTCAAAAATTACGTTAAACTAAATTTTATGTTAAAGTAAAACTGTTTAAAATGCGTAAAATGCTGATAAACGCAATAATTTTCTGTAAATCAAATCTATTTGTCGCAAAACCAGAAGATATTGATAAAATCGATGAAGAAAGGTAGCCTCGGTAATTTAATAGTCGACTAAAATAAATAGGTCGATGTACAGCGCTCATTAGCCTACATGCGCGATAACGTACCTACTGTCTCTTGTCTCGGTCGCAGCCTCTCGATTTAAAAATAATTTCGAAACAAAAGACGTAGGCGGGTCGACGGACATTAATCTTCAATCCGAGGCTGAGGATAACTTGCGACACAACGACGTTATTGAAAGCGACAAGAAGGAGATTTGAATCATTACTCAATAAACGTCAACGTTGTGTTGTGACTGTTATTTCTATGGATATGTTGGCGAACAACTTGCATGAATAATAATTCTTCATAAGCAATCTTAATTGACATTTACATCACTTAATTTACATCACTTATAGATACAAAAATAAACGCTTTATAGGTGCAAAAATGAGCAAAGGATGGAGTCCTAATAAGAAAGGCTTGAAAATTTTTAACGTGGCTTTATTTTAGGTAAATGTGTATTATGGGTATAAGAAAACTTTTTAAAGCTTATTAATTCAACAATAATATATACAAAAGATAGAAATTTGTGATTGAGCAAATTAATCCATCGCGAGCGATATACGCCACTTCGAGTGTCCTATCTTCTTTTAGAGGCCGAAAACGTGATAATTAAACCGCGTCTGCGATTCCAAGCACGTACACACAGATGTAGAAATCGGCCCTGAAGAAAGGGAGTGGGCGCTCGGAGATTCGCGCCTCGCGTCCAGGGGGATTGCGGCCCGGGCCTCGTGCGCGCCGCGCGCCGTGCCAGTTCAGTTCACGGGCACCAAATTAGATGCGGGTTATTTTTGACCAGCGTACAACCGCTCGCTCCAGTTTGCCGACGATGACGAACCAAATCGCCAGTGAGAAAAAGAGAGAGAGAGAGAGAGAATCCGCCAGACTTCTGTTACTTAGCGTATAGAGCGCGTCTCTTGGAAGCCACGTGGAGAAGAGAGGCCGGGGATCACCACGTGTCGTACGCGCGTGTTTGGCGAAATGATTTTCAGCATTATTAGCTCTCCCATGTGGGTGGTACATAACCGAAACGTTCGCTCATATATCCGAATTAGAGCTGCTGTATTAATAACAATGCCATTGGTTTTACTATTGCTAATATAGTTGATAGTAATAATTTTAACACTAGACCTACCAAAGCAATCAAATTATTAATTTGTAATTTTTTAAAAATTACTGAAATTTGCAACGATGCATTTAATAGATTGTAATATGTAAATAATTAAATTGAATTAGTTTACTTTTCCTCTTCATCCCTTTTTTCAGAAATATGTTTAATATACATATTTAATTGTTGATAGTTTTTGTATTAAAATCAGAACTTATAGGATATCTGTTTATGAATCTATATAGTTACGTGCTAATTTGGTAATTTATTTAATACTATCAAGAGTTTCTTTTATCGAACAAAGTTCGAATTGTTTTGAAAGGGCATTGTATTTCTTATCCCAAAGAAAATCTCAATCTTCTGATTCTCGCGGAAGATCGCAGTGCAGAATGTGTCTGATTTACAGATAACAGGGAGAGGCAGCCGAATCTCGAGATGTCGAGGCCAATCCTTAGCAGGCCGCGCACGTTCATCTACGGTAGCAACTACGACAAGGGCGAGTCCTATTACAAGCCCATGGTCGACCACCTAGACCGGAAGTACAGCGCGCGGCCGTTGTTCCCGGAGCCGAGAAACTCACTAGCCGACGAGATCGCGGCGCGCCGTAGCGACATCGGTAACCTCAGTCGTTTTCCAAAGTGGTTTTGAAGGAGTGTTGTAAAAAGACTTCCCAGACCCTCCTCGAGAGATTGTCCGACGGGGCTCGCTGAATAGATTCGTTGTGCAAATGAAAAATACTTGAGAGAAACTCTTGTTTCCTCCCACCCCACCCTCTCCCTCTCGTCCAACTCCACCCTTTATTTCCAACTCCCACGACTCGCATGATCTACCTCGAGGCGAGGCACTGTTAATTATATTATTTATTCGATTCGGCATCGCGATTCTCGATCGATTACGTGACCAGAGGGGGATCGCGATGCGGAGCTCGAGATTAGGATGTGAACGGAAAAATCGTTGTCCAGGATTTGTTAAATACTTATTTGTGTTAACGAAGAAGTGATACAGAAAGTGTGTATACGCATCAGAGAAATAGTACCCGTAGTAAAATATTTACTGTAGATTATAGGATTCTTACTAAAGATTTAACATGTAACGTATATTTATTACTCAGCAATGTCGATAATACATTTAATAACGGATCTAAAATAAATCGAGCATTATTTGAGAATTAATCTACCTTGTGTGAAGAAACTTATAATTGGATTTAGAAAAATTGTACGAAGAAGAAACGCAGCAATTAAGGGATTCAACGAACGAATATATTAGTTTGGCCATCTTGTCGGTCTCTTGATATTACTAAAGTTAAAGCTTGCGGTCCTGGTACGTAGCGAGAATGAGGCCCTCACATTCTAACGGTTTGATCGAATGTTGATGTCATCCTTTTGCGTGCATCGATCTTTATTGTCTTGCCTGCCGTCTGTGTAGTTAGTCTCTGGATTATGTCTCTCCTATTTGATGTATCATCTTGCTGAATAAACGTTTGGTCTCCTAAGTACACGTTGACTTTGCGCGGGGAGCCTTGGTGTGATTACTGTACGTATGTTGCGCTTGCTGCGACGATCATCGACGAGGATCGACGGATCGCAACGCGCCAGCTTCTCGAGGGGCTCCTCATTTCGACATTGCGCGAAACTTTGCCTTCGTTGATTCCCGGATTATCCGCACGCATGCACACTCACATGTATCATTCACGCCACACATCGACACATATGACACACGGCGTGGCGATTTATGAAAGGTGTTGCGTGTCTCCTTGAATAATACGTCCGCAATAAAGCTGACAGTGATCGCCCGGTTGATGACGAGTAGATTTACGCGGCTGCATAAAAATAGAAGAACAGAGAAAATCAAAAGGTGAAGATATACCGCATCAATAAATTGTTGATCGCGACGAAGATGAATAAAAATAGTAGAGCGTCTGGAGCCTACGGGAAATCCCAGAAATGAATACGCCAACATTTCGCCGTCCAAGAAAATTTAATTTAATTTCATTTTCTTTGATTTGACATTACTTTCTGTAGCGAAAATCGGTTCGCGATTGCTGTAATATTTAGAGTTACGTATTAAGTATATACTTCTTTTTTTTTTAATCAAGAACATTACAAAGAGGGGAAAAATCCTTACATTGAAAAATGACATTACCTATATAGAAACAATAAGATATAAATATGTACACTCGATAATCCTGATTAAAATGTAAACGCATTAAATTCCCGACGAAAAAGAAGAAATGATTACGTGTTACCGGTTTTTGCTGCATAATTATCTGGGACACCCTGTATGTTCCTGGCATCGCGGATAGTGCGAAACGCGGAGGATGAGGACGAACGTTGTGCTCGACGTTAGGTGCGACTGCTAGTTTATTAGCTTAGTCGAGCGCACTGATGGGATTTTGTAGATGTGCCAGGCTGTTAATGTGATGCGCATCCGAATTTATTTTTGATCAAACGACACTAAAAATATGTGCAACCCGTTGTGTAAAGCTTACTCAGCCGATGTCGAGTCGTTGTAAGTAGAGAAACACGAAATGTAACCGACGAGGCCGATCGTGGTTTCTTAAAACTGTAATTTCAATGTAATTCTTATTTTACGCGTTGCATAATTTTAACGTTATTAAATTAAGAAGATAATATTATTTCATAAAATTAATTTATTTATAATCTATTACAGAATTTACATTTCTTTCTTCAATATTTTTGCATATTTAAAAAAAATATTTTAAATAATTATAAATCTCAATGTGCTAATTTTTATTATAATTATACGCTGCTGTTGCATCTAACATCAATTTATATTTTTGTTAGGGATTTATAGATTAAATTATAACCAGTGTCGAAAATGGAGTTAATTTTGCTTAAGATTATATCAATTTATACTTCGATATCTATCAGCGCATAATGTGAAACATGATGTTTTAAATAAAAACGTCTTAAACGAAATTTTGTTTTCTCTGAATTCTCCCTTATCATTACTGGTTATAATTTATACTTTAAATGTAGTTAAAATAATTCGAATTTCATAATGTTTCTTTTATAATTTTTATAATGTTTAAATTTAAATGTTTATATATTAAGTATGTATATATATTAATACCGACGGTGAAACGTCGATGAAGTATATTTTTAAATAATTTAATTGCTAAATTTATTGAATTGCGAGCTTGCGAGATTTTCCATCTTTTCTTCTTATCCATCCGCTACCATCTCTTGTAATAAGAGCCTTTCTCTTTCATCCAAAATCGTTGATTTTGCAAACTCGATCGTTCGGCGCCGTTTCTCAATGCCTTATCACAACCCATCATCTCCTATCCTTTGCACAAATCAACTCTCTTTTCTGATATCGGTTTTTGCAGGCACACGCGACCTCTCCGGTCCCCGCACTGGCTCCCTCGGTCGCGATCTTGACCTCGACCTCGACCCTCGTATCCGAGCCTCCCAACCACCACCCTTCACCGACCCTCTGCTAGCTCTCGACGACGAGGACACCGTCTTCGACAGCCGTGGGCAACGCATATCGGCGCGTCGCAGGCTGGGCGAAGAGTTTGCGGACGAGGTATCAGCGACGACACGCCGTTTACGTGCTCGAGTGGCAGCGATGGGTCTCGAGGACGAATTTGAATCCGCGAACGTCGCGGGCCAGGCCAGAAGGAACGCCGACCTCCTGGAGAACGCGGTGACTGCCAGGAAGAGCGCCAAAACGGCGATTGAAGATGTCGAAAGCAGCTTCAATAAGAGACGCTCGAAGCTCTTCGACGAGCTCGAGCGCGCCGACGAGAGCAAGCCGGCGTTTGCCAGGTGGTCCAAGCTGATCAACGAGGACGAAGACTTAGCGCAGACCAGCGCCGCTGCAAGCCGGGCTATACAGACGAAGGCGCGTCTCCACGATCTCGAGTCAGAGATGGAGCAGCTCGCCGAAAAGCAAGCCAAAAGGGAACGCAGGGCAGCAGCCCTTAGAGCGATGGTCAACGAGACTGCCGCCGCGTCCGATGTTGACATCGCTCAACAATCGGCCGTCAACAAGAAGGTGCGCATCACCGAACGCACGGAGAAGCACGTCAGCTTCTAGAGAATCTTGCGATTTACTTTAATTATTCAACAACGGTGTTTTACAGCCGTTAAACATATATACACTTCGGATTATTTTTAGCAACTATAGGGAGATTGTTAATCTTCATATATCACAGCTGTCGCAGAAAGAACACCTCCTAGTCATTAAACGTGTCGATTTTATCTTGAAAAATATTATTTAAATATGATTTTATACTTAAATTCTATTATTTTTTAAAAATAATTAAGTTAAACAAAGTTGTTAAAATAAATCTGCTTCTAACAAGATTGTTATTACAGATTTAGGTTGCAGCCTTTTGATAATTTTGGAAAATTATTTTGTCATCATATAAGATCAATATTGTAGTAATTTTTATTTAATTTTTATTTTTACTATCTTTCTTCTCAATTAGGGTTTAATATAGAGATTGTAAATCGCTGTAAGACACTGTTGTATTTGAATACGAGTATATAGAATATTTTCGATGCGCCGTTACGCGGCGATCGCCATTTTTACGGCGGTCGCGTAATTATATTCATATTATATCGTTGTTGATCTGTTCGCGAAATGAACGTACGACGATTCCATTATATTTTATAGTGCGTTATAGACAATGAATTATCGATAAATTTTACTAATAATAAATTGTTAATAAATTTTATCGATAATATCCAATATTGACACTTACGCTCACGATATTGCGCGTACGTTTGTTACGCGTAATCTTGTAATTATAAATGTATTAATATATACGTTAATGCGAGAAGTTTCTCTCGAAAATACGCTTAATCCCTCATTTTTAGCTTGAAAACGATAATAATATATATAAGTTATAAAATAATACGATTTAAAATCCAACGTGCATTTCAAATTAGGTTTCTGTATAAACAGTTTCTGATTAAAAGTAAATTTTATAAATTCTATTTATATTTAAAACATTTTCTTGCAAATTATTTAATGTCCTGAAATTTGATAAATAATTTAATTAACACAATAAAGCCTGGATTGCTCAAGATTTAACGTATTTTCGGACGATATTTCTCGCATAATTTTTCGCTTTTTTGCTCCTTAAGTGCGACCAAGGGAGCTTAAATGTTACTTGTTCCTAACAAATACGTTACGTTTTAATGTTTAAAATCATTTTCATGTTAAAACTTGTTACCACCAGCACGATATTATAAAGAGACGCAATACCGCATTTTGTCAAATCCGTCTCGAAACATTGCCCCTTTCATAAAACTATTCTCCGCCATTCGGAGACAAACTCTGTAATGTGCAAACTCTTAAACACACGGCGAAACTTTCAAATTTACCATAAATGTATATTTCTTCTTTCTTATTCAGGAATAAATCTTGTCTGAAAACTCTTTTCTGAGAGCAAGTCAAATTACACATGTGTGCACCACGTATCTTTCCATCACATTTCCTTTTATTCGTTATATGTGTGTACTTCTTATTTCACCATCTACATTTCATGTATTTAGATGTTTTCCTTTTCATTTTCCGCATGCACAAGATTACGCCCTAGCTGCGTTGACACTCTGCAGGTAAGAATTCATTTCATAAAGTTAGTATAGAACTGATAAATATTTCCATATTCGATTGTATTTCTATATTATAGTAAAATTCTTACCAACCATAACGACGTGTTTTAGATTAAAATAAACTTATCTAAATTATTCTTTAAAAAGTTTTCATTAAAAATTGCTATAATAAATAATTGTAACGAATCATTTTAAACTATCTTTTAATTATTATGATTAAATTTACTTTTTTTTCAACTCAAGAAGTTGCATTGTACAACAGCTAGAGAATGGAATTAATAATATAATATCTTAGCAATTCCACTAACATTTTAGGTTCTCGTAACCTGTCGGGAAATCGCGACGATTTCTACGACGAGTTAGACTTTTTGGTCGACGGACGTGGTAGACCTATTCAGGAGGATCCTTATGAAGACGATTTCGTAATCACTCATCGACGTTTCAAGGAACGTGCAGCTGCCGCATTCGAAGAGGATATGGCGGAATTGAGACGCAAACGGCGAGATATGCAGGTTGAATTAAACGAAAGAACAAGCCGATAATTTAATGTTAAAAATCAAATTAGATTAAATACAGAAATAAGCTATCGATAAAACACATAAAAAACTAGTTTGTCATAATTTAAATTACATCATAAATCATAATTAAGTTATATGGATGCACGTAACTCGAACAACCAATAACATCATTTTCATATCGTCTGTTCTGTTCTACAAATTTTTTAATATCTTTTTGTCGTATCTGATGGACTTACTTTCTTGCAGGATCGCGTCTTCGACGTGATTGATCTAAACGCCGAGATAGAGAAGGCCAAGAGTACACTGGAGGCCGCCGGTATCGTGTTCCAGCGACACGCGACCAAGTTCAACAATCAGGATGACGATGAGCAGACGATGTCGCTGACGCAGAAACTTGACAGAACGCGCAAGATCGCGAATGTTGAGCTAGAGAAGCCGAAGCCCAAAACCTTCCTGATGAAGTGGCCCAAGATGCCGGTCGGCGAGCCGGAAGCAGCTCAGCCCGTTGCTCAGGCGGGAAGACAGCGCAGGATCAACTCACTGATCGATACCAGCGAAATCGGTGATCCGCTGGAGGCTGTCGCGATGCAGCCGATGAAACGGAGGTTTTTGAAGAGAAAGAAAAGCGTTTCATTTTAAGAATCAAATATTCTTTTCTATTCAATGTTAACGGTGTGCAAAATCTATCAATACTTTAGTAAAAAATTCTTATAACTTGGAAAACTTCTTTTTAATTCTGCAACATTAGATCTGTGTAATTAATGCTTAAATTAAAATTTTGTCTATTCAAATCTAGATCGTTTGAAATAGAACGAAAAATATGCTTTTATATATATACTATCCATTATTTGCATTTGAAGATTAATTCCTGAAAATAATCCTTTATTTTTAATCATTTTTCATTTAAAAATTACTCGTACTTTTATGTAGAGAAAAATCTACTTCAAGTTAGTTAAAAAATCTGTTTTTTAAATATTTTCTGATAAGCCTAGAATATTCAGTATTTCATCAACTGTATCACCAGAAATATTTTTAATAATTAAGTTCTTATTATATTTTATCTAATCATTGAAATATAATTGTTAAATACATTTATTTATTTAGTTGATCACGAGATACTGTTCTTTTATTTCTTGAAATAATATTTTTCGCAAGCAGATTGTTCCTATCTACTATGTACTTTAATAAAGAAATATTATAGTTTATTCGTATTTATAATAAATATTAAGTATCAAATAAAATTAAATAAATCCTACTACTTCTCTTCCCTAGAAAAATTAAATTAAATTATTAATTACTTAATAAATTATTAAATATTGGTTACAAAAGAAAATATGTGTATGATAATACAAAATTGACTTAAAAAGTTTCTGACGTTTAAGAGTGAAGATATATTTTACAATGCCAATTTTTTTTTAATGATACACCACATGTCAAAAAAGAGTGTACAAATATACATCATTTTAGCTACAATAGGCAGACGTTGCATTATCGATTTTGTCAGTATCATCAAACACATTTGAATTGCAATCCTATTTATATTACTAGCTTATACAAAACATCTAATAAAAATTGTCAAGTCGCAAAAAGACGACACAACAGAGATAATTAGATTAAAAAGATGTTACGTTAAAAAATAAATATTGATAAAGACCTACACGTGAGAGACTGCATACACGTGAGTGGATATATGAGATTTTAGTTGTCTTTGATGATTGCCTTTTAACAGCTTTTAACAGAGCGGGATTCACAGGATCTTCTGATATTTCAAACTATAGTAGGCACGAGTATGGTAGCTATAATGTCTGGATGTCTGGATGCGTTTCATATTGGTGAGGTACTTCATGTCGGCCGATCGCTTGAAGCTTTTATCTATATTCTTTTCATCGTAGGTTCTCAAAGCCCTTTCCGCCCATTCCTGAGCTCTAGGTGGCTCGCGGTATATACCCTTCTGCCTCGAATCAAGATAGTCGATCACGTCGTCGTAATAGTTCTTCCTATTAGATAAAAAAGACGTTACCGAGATTGAATATTGAGAGATAATTTCGAGATTATAATTTTCGATCGCCATCGAGTCCAATATTTTCTACAATTAAATATAAATAATGTAATTTCAACTCTTATTAAAATTCATCATGTTGTAATTATAACTCTTTGGTATACATAAAAGCATTGAAATATTTTTCTTCTCTCACATAATATTTGAAACGAAAAAATTGTTTAAACTCGAACTCGACTTAAACCATGCTGTTTCATCGAGCAGCAAAAAATTCCCTGAAATTCCGTGAAAGATTGCAATGTTTCTGATCTGATTTTAATTTCATTTGTATCAACTTGTGTTTTTCAATCGCAATAATCACACAATTTACCTATAATCGTAAAGATACGCATAATTGAGGAACAGTGGTCGAACCCAATGATGGTTGTAATGCGGAGGCTCGAGCTTCAATAATTTCAGGACCGGTCTGTCAGTGGTAGCTGCCTCGGCTGGCGCACCTTCCCCTGCACCCTCGACAACCGCTTCCGCAGCCGGTTCCTCAACGTCCCACGGTGCAGCTTCGTCATCCGCCCACGACATCGTAATTTCGTTATATATTCACTTTGATATTGAGCCTGCAAATAATTATATCGCGTTAAATATAAGTGCCATATAAATCCGTCATTCTTAAGATTATCACAACGAAATTGGCTTGATAAATAATTAGAAATTATTCCTTCGTTAATCTCTTCCTTTGTGATATCTGTTCCGTTTTTTATCTCTAAGATCTATTCGTTTTTCATGACGCTTCTATTCTCGATTAATTTAGCCGATTGATATATATGTATACATTGTATGAAGAAACAGGTCATCGAAGACACAACAAACCGTTTGGCTGAGGTATCAATTGGTATTTGTGGCGAAACTAAATGCCATACCGAGCTCCAAGCATTCAAACGTCTTGGCTAACACACTAAATTTATACATATAAAATACCCCTTTAATCTTTAATTATATGTCGCTCATCATTAACAAACCGGATAATGGAAAATAATCACGATTTGCAAAGTAATATGATAGCGTCGTTTTTACGCATCCTGACGACGAGACCACGACTTCTTCTTTATAACGTAGATAACGATGAAATATGAATGTAAAGATAAAAAAATATCTCGTGTTCAAAACAGATAAAATAAAAACCTAAAGGATGGTGAATTTCACTAACACGGACAATTTGATAAAAGCACAAACGACGAAAGACAATCTCTCGATTTCACTGTCAAAACCACGGTCTGGTCAAAACTATCGTTCACTGTCTCTTCCCCGCCGACGACGGCGACGACGCGGCCAGGGATTCTCCGAGGGCGCGATGTACCTGCGCCTGCAGCGGCTGCAGCTCCTGCTTTCGCACTCGCGCGTACTGCGAAAAAATGACCGGCCCTTCTGCGCGCCGCGGGCTCGACTCACCACTTCCCGTGGACCTTGTTGGGTTTCGCTTTTATTTTAGCAACATCTTCCACACCCCGTTCGTCCCTTTGAAGGTGCGCTCCTCTGCCTCGGTGAGGAGGGGACGATTTGGCACGCGATCGGCTACAATTATTGGCGTTGCGAGTTGCTGCGAGTTGCGACGACTACTCTCTTCCTCTCTCCTCGTGTGTGTACGCACACGCACGTGCGTCGGCGATTAGCTTGCGATTAAACGCGCGCCTCGACACTTGTCCTCGTGCCATTTCACGCTTATTAACATTGAAAAAGCAAAGATGACACGTACCTTTGGCCGGAGGAACGGAAACGCCGCGACAGTCATCGAAATCGATAATTTGCGCCGAAATAAACTTTATGTCATAAAATACATTTGCGCCGAAATAAAATTAATGCCATGAAACCTATCTGCGCCGAAATAAGATTATTAAATATCATAAATCTCATCCTTGATTAATTATTTATCTGCCGTATAATTTCGTCGCTGCCGTTCGACTTGCTGATTTTATGTTACGTCACGAAACCTTGAACGTTACGAGAGTTTATTGTTCAACACGTGGTCAATTATTGCTATTTATAAGCGAATTACTATGGCCCAATTAAAGATTTGTGCGCATTGAACGATACAGTATAATTATTCGGCAGCAACATTGACATCGTACCCTGGTTTACTTACTATAATTCACGCAAATTGTAACAGAATGTAACATTCAGACGCGTACGAACTTGAGATGTATATTTGCGACCTTTGCAACAATGTGTATGTGCCTGGATTAAATACGCCCAATTTAATTTGAGATTAAAGATAAAAAGTTCAACTCTCTATTAAAATAATTGAATATTATTTAAATTAACCGTTTGCCAAAGTTGCGTGTGTTCAATTCATAACATTACTGGAAGGTAAATCTACTTTCAAGATCTTTGTTAACAACACGAGACTGATTTTAAGCCAGCTGTTAATGAAGATGTCTCGAAAATAGATTTATCTATTAAAATTAAATAATGTTTATTATTCCGTGATAAATTTGATACATAAACAAATAATATTCTGTTATTTTAACAAAGAATTAAAATTACTTTCTATTTTACTCTAATCGAAAATAAGAACACAATATTATTTAGAATAAGATAAGAATCAAATAAGAATTAATACAATATTTATTAAAAACTGCAAACCAAACTTCTAAAACAACATATACATATATATTTTTTTACATTTAATGTTTTAAAAGAAAATATAATTAAAATTATTCATTTTACAATTACCGTAAAAAAGTATCATTTTAGGTCTAGAAGATAAAATTTTTAATTGTATCTTTCCGACATTTAATTATGCGTTTCGAAAAATTTTATTATTTATTAATTAAGACGCAATTGAAGGATAACGGATTTATTTAATTCACTATATAATATTTGCAAGATAAGGGCTGCATTCCGATATTCACTGTCA